TGCTGACGGTTATGGGTGTGGTGCTGTGTAGTTTGGTTCAGGGGTTCATTCCCTTTTCACTGCATATATACCAAACTGATACCTCTTTTTTGGTGGAAATGCGTCCATTTTATGTGGGTTTAAATTTTGGTAGAACCCAACGGTCAAAAATGGGATAGTTAGGGCTATTATGGGAATTTAGCAGTGAAAGCTCACTCTAATTATTTTTCTTTGAGTTCATTAAATTTGTTGTTTTCAATGTTTCTCAGTAGTCAAATTGTAAAAAGAAAACATCATTGCAAGCATTGGGACACCAGTTCATTCATCCCTTTGTTTTCTTTTTACTTCATTCAGGCATGGTCGTGTTGTTATGTTCCAAGTCCTGTTTCACTTTATTTATTCTCTTTTTTTTCATCTTTTATTATGAATCGGGTTATTTGAATTCGGAGTGTGGACATGACGACAAGATTGTTCATGCAGTGACGAATTAAAACTTTTGAATGAGATGTGTTTCTTGATCATAGTTCTTGTACTAATATTTTGAACCTCGCTGATAGTGACTATGCTTCTACTATGTTGTTGTTTTCTTGCTCTTGCCGGGATAAATAAAAAAAATTTAAAATTTTTTTTAAAAAAATCGAAAAACCAAAAAAAGTCTCTTCATGTCCTTATCAATCCAAGAGAAGCCGAATCTAGAAAGTCCACCCACCCACTTATATATATTTATATGTGTGTGTGTGTGTGTGTGTGTGTGTGTTGGACTTATATATAAAGAGATACTTGTCCTAGTTTTTCTTTGCTTCCATCTTTCTTTTCAATCATTTTGGCTATGGACCGTGACCTATTTGCTAGAAACAAATGAAGAAAATGTTGTGCACGTCATATATTTTCTAGTGGTGGGGTGTTTGGTTTTGAACTTTTGGACTATAATAAATAGTGGAGGGTTAGGTCATTGTTTGTTGGTGAAATTGAGATCATTAGAGACCAATATAAACCCTAATGCAAATATTATATTGCCTAAGACCACTGCCCTCCATTCGCATGTCTATCTACAAGCATGCCATCATATATTCCTAAACAAATACTGTATATATTTGAACCTTTCAAAAAATATTTACATGTATATATGTTTGGAATTTTGAAAATTATTTTTAAATTTCGACAAGTTATGTTTAGGGTATGGATGGCAATTCGTGTTCATGGATCATAATCGTGTCGTATCGATATAAGGGTATTTTACTAAACAGGTAAATCCAAACCCGACCCATTTAATAATCGTGTCAGGAACCCTCAATACACCCGACCTGTTTATATAACCCGTTTAAAAATCTGTTTATCTAAATAAGACACTTAATATTCAATCAAATAATAAATAGTAAAAAAAATTTGTCACAATTAACCCAAATATTCAAAATAAGAAGAAAAAATAAGGTGTAGTCGAGGTTTATATTGGAATGACTTAACTGTCCATAATAATTAGGTTTAACCGGGTAAAATATCACATAGGTCATATTCACGATTATAACATATTGAGTTAAACGAGTTATACGGGTTGAACCCCCTCAACCCTAACCTGACACAGTTAAATAAACGAGTTAATCATGTCAACTCGTTTAAGGTCAATCCAAACTCCCTTATCTCGTGTCGTGTTCGAGTCATGTTAGCGGCTCGTGTCGTAATTTGCCACCCCTAGCAATGTCTGACACAATTCGCTAATACGACACATGTTAAATAGGTTTGAGTTGACCTTAAACAGGTTTGAATTATAAACGAGTTGATAAGATTAACCTATATAATTAATCTTGTTTGAATTGAGGTGGTTCAACCTGTATAACCCGTTTAATGTCATAAACAAATTTATATTTAAGTTCCAAAATAATTATTTTAACTTTGTCTTATAATTTTACTTTTTTGTAAACTAAAAACTATTTTGTAATTTGATTGAATTAAAACTTATTTTTTTTATTTTTTAGTATTTATTATTTAATTCAGTATTATTAATAATTTAAATAATATAATTTTTTATTTTTATAAATAGGTCATAAAACATTCTGACACAAATACTAAAGGGTAACACAAATTACCACCCCTTATGTCATATAATTAGTATTTTCACACAACCAGTGCTATGCATTTGTTTTCATTGTTGTTGAATCACTTGGCAACAAAAACAGTAATTTATTAATTTTGTTTTTACCTAAATAACACCGATACCACATGATGTTGATAAGGTACTGCTTATTTTTAATTTAAATTTACAAATATGCGAAGTCCAATTATGTCCCTTGACTTTGTTGATCTTTGACACAATAAATGAATTTGTTATAAAAGTATTAACCTTAAGGGAAGTTAATTAATTTTTGAATTAAAATGGTAGATCTGTATAATTATGCAATATATCTCGAGGGAGATGAATGTGATTTTACCTAACTTTCATTTGTCTAATAGATTTAAATTATTTTGTGAAAAAAAGAATCATAAAAGTATTTTAATTTGAAATCACATAATTTCATATTGAATGAAGGACAAGATAACAATAATAATGATTGTTGCAATTATAGAAGGGAAAATAATAATAATAATAATAATAATAATTTATATGAAAGTTATTTTTATAATAATTTTTCATGTTCATAACCCACTATATTTATTTATTTTTATTTATTATTTTTGAAGTCAGTGGAATCCAAACATTGGCTTAGAGTGGTGGGACGCAATCATGAAAATGGATTGGGATGGTTATTAAGACATATTTAAACCAGAAAAAGAGTTTGACTGAACATTAAATTAATATTCCCTCCTACCATTCATCATCCAACAATCCTTCAACCTCCCTGCATTACCCAATTAAAAGTATTGGGACCATTTGAATGGTGCCCCATCTAACATGGTCACATGTACTTGTACTTTGGGGGGTTGCATTCATCTTGGATTTAGAGATTTAATATGATAGTGATATTTCAAGTTATCCTGTTATTCTTTAACGGATGTTTTTCTTAATTTTCGAGCATGTTCTTGCTTTCATGCTTCGTGCACGCTTTCGTTTTTATTTTCATTCTGAATTCGCTCTTGTTTTATGTGACTTAGATGATACCATAAGATTTCAAATAAATAATTTATCATTCCAATGTCAAGTTTTACTGGTACACTTATCATATGTAGTTCGGAATTTGTAATTATTTGTTACTTGTTAAAAAAAGAATAAATTATTATACAATTATGGAATATATGGTCTCGGCCAATCACAACTCGACATGTAAATAAAAATTTAAATAAAATTGACATATTTACTTACATGTTAAGTTATTATTGACAAAAATCATGTAATGATTTATTCACTTATTATTATTGTGTGATTTTTTTATTCGAAATCCATGTAATCGTAATAAATTATGTGATTCTATAAAATGTCGAGCACCCGGAAATAGGGAAAAAAAAAATTGTAACAATAATAATAATGATAAAAAGTAAAGGGTGTACTTTCATTAATTTGTGTCACTAAAAGCGCCACCGTTATATTGAATATTTGATTGGTGTACCACTAACTCAGTCTATTACTCTATTATTATCCCATTCGTTACGCAATTGAGATAAAAATGAGATATATACATAAATTTTGATTGATGTGACAAAAATAAAAATTTATCTTTTCACTAATCATATATGTATATATGCATGTATTTATTAATTTGACTATATTTCTTTTTTTACCAATTTTTTAAAGTCATTGTGTTGATATGTTGTTTTTTTTTTTTGGTAATTTTTTTTTTTCTAGACTTTATTTAAAGGGTCAAAGCCTGTCACTGTAAAATTTATTAACCTAGACAATCAAAGCATGTGCAGCATAGGTAGAATATTCAATTTATATGAGTAATGGTAAGGATATAAATAATTAACATATATGTATAAATTATGAATCTTTAATAAAAAGTACTTATTCTACAAATGTAAATTAAGGATATAAATTATGAATCTTTAATAAAAATTTCTTATTCTACAATGTATTCTATCTGCTAATATAATTAAGTATATCAAAATCTATCTCTATAATAAATAAATAAATAGACAATGTATTTTATCCGCTAATAGAACGATAAGTATATCAAAATCTATTTATATAATAAATAAATAAATAAATAAACTTGGATTCTCTGAGTTAAATATTGTCTAAGTTATCATAAGTTGAATTCGATTGATGCATTATATTTAAAATCTATCTACTACTGGTGTTAAATAACGTAACTAATTTAATGAAAGTTTAAAATTACACCATTTTGAGATAAAGGAAAATTTATCCAAAATTTTAAAACTGTACCCTTTTGAATTAAGTAAAAATCACCATACTTTATTGGCATTTTGAGAAAAAATGAAAGATAACGTCGGTCATATTAAAAGAGAAACACAGACCATTGCGATTTATTTAAGATAGGAATAAAGAGAAGAGAGGGATGATTTTTTTTTTTTTGGAAAAGATGAGGGAGATATAACAACGTTAAGGTTCCATTTGTTTTGACGTAAAATATTATTTTTGAAAAATATTTTTCTTTTTAAGGTAAAATATTATTTTATTTTTATTTCTTCAGTGTTTGACAAAGTATATGTTGAGGTTGAGATTAAGTCCATTAGGCATGTTAAATAAATTGCTGATAGATAAAGTTATTTTTGTTAAATTTAATATATTGTTTTCTTCGTAAATATTTTACGACAAACAAACACCAAAAAAAAATAATATTTTTTGAAAAATATTTTAAGTCCAAACAAACGGAGCCTAAATGTCATTAGAGTATGATAAATTTTTTTTAATTCAAAAGTGTATAATTTTTAAAGTTTGATAAATTTTTTTTATCTCAAAATGATTTCAAGCTTTCTTTCAATTATTTCGAATAACTTAAAAAATATTTAACTTAGATGGAGTCCTAAATAAATAGAAAATAACAATAGTGGCATTTCGGTAAATTGGACCAGGTAAAGGGACAATATAATTGGGCGACCTCCATCCATTAAAATGCATCTTTTCGCTTCTTCAGTCCACTTCTCAGACTCTCTCTCTCTCTACCATTTTCCTCATCGGCGGAGGCATTCACAAATCTCATCTCGAGTTTGTCTCTCTAAAACTGTCCTTTCTTTACACAGAGAGAAATGGCTTTCGAGAAGATCAAGGTCGCCAACCCAATCGTTGAGATGGATGGTGAGACATCACATCTCTATAGTTTTTTTTTTTCGTCTCAGATGATTGGATCTTGTAATCTCTGTACTTTCAATTATCAGATATAGATCTGTTCTACGATTTTCTTACCTGATTCTAGATCCTCATTTATAGTCAATGGTGTATTGCGAAGCAATTTCATGAAACAACGATTTTTTTGATTAATTTTGGAAACATATTAATCTTAATCTCATAAATATTTAAGCTGGTGGATTCGTGTTTCATTTGCAGGACACTTAGAGTCGATCTGACGAGTTATATGATATATAAACACAAACACAGTCACACATAAACACATACATACACATACTTAATTATATGTAAAATGGAGATCGGAGAATGATTTAATTTTTTATTGATTTTAACTGGAAATTAACCTTTCTTAAAATTGCTTAGGAATGGGTTTCAACTAAATTGATCAGAATGCTTGACTGTTTGGTTGAGTGTACTTTATGTTGAATTATTGGTTGGATCGTGGTAGTCTACTGAGTTTTCATGCTCATAATTCATTAGCAATCCTTTATGATTAGGATTTTCATTGTGTGGCCCTTAAATGTTTTATTGGTTGCAGTCTTTCCATTCAACTTATGAACCACAAGGCAAGAGAAGGAAGTAGAAAGTACTGTTCATGTATTACCTGCAATTTTTGGGACGTAATAGTGTTCTGTGTGTTATTATTTACTAATGAGCATGAAAATATGTAAAAAAATGGTTGCATATGCTTATGGTTTGTGCAAGATAAAATCTTACAGTTGCTATCACTTACGGTTGTGATCATCCTAATGTCCAAATGTAGATAATTTTTGAATTAATTTTTGAACTAAAAATCACTGGTTTTGTAGAATAAATTACAAATATTCTTTTAATAGAGACAAACTATAGACCTGACTTAAACCGAGAAATAGGGAGACCTACAGAATTCTTTTTTATCAGTTTTGAGAATGATAAAGAGGGAACTGCAAGAGCTTAAAATTCCAAAGAAGTTCAATGGAACTGCAGAGAAGCACCGGAACTTTCTGAATTTTTATGTTGTAAAATTTACTCATTGAAAGAGATTTAATTTTTTTTTATTGAAACTGAGCTACTCAATTTCCACAGATGAGTTATCTATGAAAATAAATTAACTTTCTTTTCCTCACTGTTCTTCTTAATTTTATGATGCAGGAGATGAAATGACTCGAATCTTTTGGAAATCAATAAAAGACAAAGTAATCTGTTTTCCCTGTTCATTTATAAGCACTAATATGCTTTCCTGGTTTATTTTTTCGTAATTGTGACTAAAAAATTGCTTATTTTTGTAACTGTTGATATATCACAGCTCATTTTCCCCTTTCTGGAGTTGGATATCAAGTATTTTGACCTTGGGCTTCCTCATCGTGATGCCACTGATGATAAGGTTACTGTTGAAAGTGCAGAAGCTACTCTTAAGTATGTCTTCGTGCTATTTTATTTTAAGGTTTTATTGTTTTTAAAAGCTAGCCATTTCAGAATCTGTTTTTATTTCATTTTCTTTTTAAGTTCCAATTACAGATGCTTCTTCTTCCTCCTCCTTTTCTTGTTTAACAGTCTTTTTTAAATTTTTATTTTTTTTCCTCTGATGAATATATTGTCATTGTAGGTACAATGTAGCAATCAAGTGTGCAACCATTACTCCAGGTACATGTTTGACTGTTGAGTTTCACTATAGAGACATTCATTTAATTAGGGAAATGCTGAACCCTCAAAACATTTATTAGGTTCGTGACTTCAGTGCTCCAGTTTATTAAACATATAATTTTTACAAAATTTGGTAATTTGCAGATGAAGCTCGTATGACGGAGTTCAAGTTGAAGTCAATGTGGAAGAGTCCAAATGGGACCATTAGGAATATTCTGAATGGTAAGCGAACTTGCCTGAGCAGTTTAAAAATTTTGCCACTTTTATTTTCTTTACACTCATGGATTCATTGGTAATGGTCGATTATGATTGACACTTGCTTCAGGCACGGTTTTCAGAGAACCAATTATTTGCAAAAACGTCCCCCGGTTAATCCCAGGTATTTATTGTTTCTTGATGCTGCTTTATGTTCTCTTATATGAGCTAAGAGCACTTTTCCAATTGCTATTATTATCAGGATGGACAAAGCCTATATGCATTGGAAGGCATGCTTTTGGTGATCAATACCGTGCAACTGATGCAGTTATCAAAGGAGCTGGGAAACTCAAATTGGTGTTTGGTAAAATTCATCCCCACCCTTATGATTAATAAAGACTTTTGAGACTTCTTTTGTTGTACCTTTATTAATTGTTTCAAGAAATCTGAACAACCTGATGTTTGTATGATTTTCCTTGGTTCTTTTACCTTCTTTGCTTCTCATGTGTTGTTAGCTTTTTAGTTGTTAAAGAATATATTACGAGAGAGAAAATGGTTAACCTGTTTGCAGTGCCAGAAGGAAAGGACGAAAAGACAGAGTTAGAGGTTTACAACTTTACTGGTGCTGGAGGTGTAGCTTTGTCCATGTACAACACTGATGAGGTCTGGGTTTGCAAATTATTTGGTGGTAGTTTTTGAAGTTAATTTTCTTGATGGCAGCTGGAAACTGATCTATTGTTTTTTTTCTTTGTTTTTTAAATTATCTCTGAATGCAGTCAATTAATTCTTTTGCTGAGGCTTCAATGAACACTGCTTACCTGAAGAAGTGGCCTCTCTATCTTAGTACAAAGAATACTATTCTTAAGAAATATGATGGAAGGTATGCAGCTTGTTAATTTGATTTATTATATATTTCCTGGCACTTCTTAACTTGTGTTATCTTTTGCTGTTCTGTTAATTCTTATTTTTCCTTTCGGTGAAGATTCAAGGACATATTTCAGGAAGTTTATGAAGCTAAGTGGAAATCTAAATTTGAGGAAGCTGGGATATGGTGAGTAGCTGAACTATTCAATTCTACCATGTTGGTTTTGCAGTTAGGTAAATATAATTTATCAGACTTGTATGGTTAAATTAAATTTACAGGTATGAACACCGACTCATAGATGATATGGTTGCTTATGCTCTTAAGAGTGATGGAGGTTACGTATGGGCATGCAAAAACTATGATGGGGATGTGCAGAGTGATTTCTTAGCACAAGGTTTAAGTGTCGTACTTTTATTACCTCAAATATAAATTGTTGAACTGATCCTTGTAGTATGTGCTGTTGCTTCTGTGTACTCTAAATACAAAGAGATTCTGAATGAAATACTTCCTATCTCTATTTAAACTTTGACTGGCTGATTTGATCTCAATTTCCGGTTTCATTTTACAGGGTTTGGATCTCTTGGGCTGATGACGTCTGTTCTGGTATCTCATTTTCCTTTTTTTTTATTCTTTTCTTTTCTATGCATTCTTATTCTGTTACTTCCATTTGTTATTATGGGACCTCTTCGGATGGCCCAATGTTCTAGTGCCATTCTATTTTTCTGTTGCCTTTCAGATTTTCTCTGGCCTTGTGTTCTAGCACAATTCTATTTTTCTGTTGCCTTGCAGATTTTCTATTCAGCCACCAATTTTCTTCTCTCCCTCTCTTTTTCTCCCTTTCTTAATTAAAATACATTTTTGTTTGTATTCTATATTACCAATTGCATTGATCAAATAACTAGTTTTTAGCATTATACATTTTTTAATCTTGTGTTATACACTTATTTTGGATTTTGATGGGTTCATGGACTGGGTTCAGGTGTGCCCTGATGGGAAGACCATAGAAGCTGAAGCAGCCCATGGCACTGTTACACGCCACTACCGGGTTCACCAGAAAGGAGGTGAAACCAGCACAAACAGCATAGCGTCAATCTTTGCTTGGTCTCGAGGGCTTGCACACAGGTATGGGGAGCTGCTTCAATTTTTTGTTGTTAGATGCTTCCAGGATAAAGCATGTTTATTTCGTTTCATTGAAAATTTTGAGTGAGCAAACTGTTTTCATGGCTATAGAGCAAAGTTGGATGATAATGCTAGACTCCTGGATTTCACTGAGAAACTAGAAGCAGCTTGTATCGGAACTGTGGAGTCAGGGAAGATGACCAAGGATCTTGCACTTATAATCCATGGTTCCAAGTAAGCGACTCTTAGAAGGATAATCCTTGGAAATGTGTTCTTCATATGACCCTGATTCATTTGATTTCATGCATTGTGTAGGCTTAGCAGGGAACACTATCTTAATACCGAGGAGTTCATTGATGCTGTGGCGGACGGGCTGAAAGAAAGACTTTCTTGCAAAGCATAATTGTAAGTGTGTATTTGTTAGTACTAATTTGGCTTTTCGATTGTCAAATGATCTTGTTTTAATTTGTTACTGTTTTTCTAACTTATCTTCATTGAATACTTGAAGTCAGTTGGAGTTCTCATGTATGTTCACTCCTTTTTCAAATTGTAGGTTTTGATGGACGAGTTGAAGACTGATAGGTTTTCTCTGCTAACTTAAATTTTGCGGAGAAGAAATAAAGGGGTCATTTTGGGGATTGGAGGGGGCATTTTAAGGCCTTGAAGCTTTAGCTTCTGGATGCTATCGAGGACGTGTTTGAATTAATTAATTTGCTCTGCTACAATACGTTGTGATTTTCCCTGGTTAAAAATAGTTTTTGTTGCTCTATATCTAATTACGAAGGAAATCGAGACAACGATAGGTTCTCTCTGCTAATATGGTATTTTGCAGAGAAGAAATAAGGGTAAGAGCAAGGCTGGGGCTTATGATTTATTTTATGTTTATGCATTTACCCATACAAAAAAAAGTCTGAAATTCATGATTATCTGTGGTTGGTTTGATTCACTGAACATAAAAGGTCACACACCACTACATTTATACAATTCCCATACCAAAAAGGTATGAAATTCATGATTATCTGAGGTTGGTTTGATTCACTGAACATAAAAGGTCACTCATCATTATCATTTATACAATATACACAAAATATCCGGTGATTCATTGAACAAAAAAGGTCTTTGGTACCTACCTTTTAATGGAGAGTACTCATTTTCTTTTGATTTTTGGAAGTTGAGAAGTTGTTAATAGGGTAGATTAGATTATGGTCTAACCTTTTAACTTCAATTGGTGCATAGGCATTGCCCTAATTCTAAATCCAATGCGCTGAATTCGGTGTTCCCAAACACATCATGGGTGCTATTTCTAATTTCAAATTCAAGGAGCCGAATTCGTCAGTTTAGTCTTGTTTTCGTATTCTTCAAGATGTTGTTGAATGGGGATATAGAATTTAATGAATTGCTTCTCAGGTTTGTGTTTTCTCCTTTTCTGTTTTCTTTGGCTACCCTTTCTCATGGATGGCTTGAGAATGATGAGTTAGGTGTAGTGTCTTTAAGTTTCTGATGGATGTGAAATTTTATATTTTAGATTTTTGATTGCTTCCTTCCTTTTAATCAGCTTTGGAGAAGCAAATCCCAAAGCTATTACTTGATTTAGTGTTATCTAATTTTTGCTGAGTTGGGAATGATAAACTTATTCAACAATATGACAAGTTGACACAAAACATAAATTCAAATGTCAATAAAGGATTATAAAATAGCACAAATTAAACCCGAATCATTATAGTCTTTTTATCTCATACGAACGAGAGACAAAATATTACACACAAAATATTGTTTTTCAATCAGCTTAACCACATGGCATAGCTTCTTTGTGTTATATCGCATTCCTCTCTTTGGAAGCACATCAACCATGAAACTAAGGCTTGGGCAATGGTGTCCCCTTCACAACCGTGACTGGGCATGTTGCATTTGTCACCACGTAGTTGCTCACACTCCCTAGCAACACCCTGCGTCAACATCACAATGCTCAGCTTTTTTCTCAACAATGATATATATATATATATGTGTGTGTGTGGAGGTGCCCGTACATAAGAGGATGGAGATCATCTTACATGGATTGAAATCCACTCTGTCGATGGGATCCAAGATAATCTCCATCCTTTCTTGTACACCGAACAATTCTATTACGGCACATGAGGGGATCCAAATTCATGAACGTGAGGGGATCCAAATTCATGAAGTGATGCATAAATAAATGTGTCAGCTTCATGTCATTTTCGATTAGTTTTTTATTTATGTGTTTTTTTATTTATGTACTCTTCGTTTATGTGTTGCTTAGCGATGGAGACCAATTGTTCTGCAATCATGTAATAATTTCTCCATGGTGGTGGTCACGATAAATTATTAGATAGTATTCGACAACTGACATTTGATGGACCAACTCTGGAATTAAAAAAATATCCCACAAGATTGTATTAATATAAGTATTACAAAGGAATCTTAACATTAATTTTCATTAAATTAGTCTACCACATGTCTAATGATCCAAGAGCATTTAATAATTTCTCAAGGTCCACCCTCTTTTAGGGTGAAATTCACCCTCCTTTTTCCTCTTTGCAATGAACCAGTGCACAAGAGATATATTCAAATTCTGGAATATATCATGTAATGAAAATTGGATCTAACAAACACACACACACATATAATTCTAGTACAACAATTACCAAGACAACCTTACCCAAGGAATTTATCAATTCATGTTAGATAAAGACAAGAATAATGATGAATGAAGGTGAAACAAATACTATATTTTCCTTACCTTTCCTCTAAATAACTTCCAATATTTTGAGATGAGAATGGCTAGTAAGAAATGCTATATATGATTCTAATTGCTAATGGGAAAATAAATAAATAAATAAATAAATAAAAATAAAATGATTGTAATTGCTAAAATGACCATGAATAATTTATGTGAAACAGAAGTATATATACTCTAGTTTCATCCATGTACTGTCCAGTACTGCTACCTATGAGTCTCTGAAGATCCCTTTAATTAATGCCAGATAGAGGAGTATGTTTGTGTATGTACACACACATATATGTTTCATTCAGTTCAGAAGGAGAATATATATATATATATGAGTGTGATATATAGGGTCAGTACCTTTTAATAATCCCTAAGCCTCTGCTTCCAACCACAAGTGAATCAAGCTTGAGATGTTCCACAGCATCACACAGCTTCTCCCTTGGATCCCCCCAGTAAATCTTGGCCACCACTTTAGCCTGGTAATTCAACCATACTCATCATATATATATATATATATATATATATACCGCAACTAATATATATGTATAATATGTATATATATAGAGAGAGAGAGAGAGAGAGATCGAGTACGGAGTACCCCTTTGGTCTTGGAGACGGTATCAAGCAAATCAAGAACCTCGGGATCAGGGGTAAGTCCATATTGCTTAGACACATTAGCCTCTTTGAATTCTTCAAGAGGTATCAAAGCTGAAAATAAAATCACCAAAAAAAAAAATGAATAAAGTAAATAAAAGATTATATATATATATATATATATGATCAAATGAGCAACATATATGTGTGTGTGTGTGTATGGTACGTACGTGATCCAGTATCGGCGAAGAGCTGCTTATTGGTGGGATCAGATTTTGGTGACCGAACATGGATTATGATCATTTGATCTCCGGCTTCAATCAGATTATCAATTGCCCATCGAAGGGCTGATTTGCTAGTTGCTGAATAGTCCATCCCAATCCCAACTGTACGTGCCTTCCCCATCTCTCTCTCTCTCTCTCTCTATAGAGGATCTAAAGCTAGTTGTTGTTATGATACTAGCTCCCTCTATATATATATATAGTTGTGCTTACATATATATATATATATGTATATTTGGTGTATACAGTAGCTTTGGATTCTTTGCTGGAAAGAGGAGGTTCTGGAGAAGACTAGAAGCTAGGAATTTTAATTGGTAATAGAATGGAATAATTGAAGTTGTCACTTTGTTCTTTAAAGATGATAAGATTTAATTTGACAAAAGGAATTTAATTAGAATAAAGGACCAAGGCAACTCAAATTTCCGTGTGCCCACAGTGACAGCCCATTCATATAATAATCGACTATTTTTGAATCATAAAGAGATAAGATGCCCTTTATATGAATGAGTAGAGAATTTAATTGAGATTTTCTTCAAGAGAAAGATACTATTTAATAAGTTACATATATATATATATATTATAAGTAACCACCACTTCAATGGGGTGGGTGGGTGGCTTTAGGTGTGTGGAGCGGAGGTTCTAAACTTGTGTGAGATCCAAACTGATCCAAATTTGCTTGGTATTAGAGTCTATCTTAGGGGTATTCTTTTGATTTTGTCAATCCACCAAATTGATCTAATAAAATTTAATTCGTGTGAATAAAATTTAATTTTTAGTCTCACAATCTAATTATAGATTGATAAACAAGTAATATTCACGAAATAGTTAACGGATTGAGGTTTTAAAAAGTTGATTTGATCGTACCCGCTCAAACTATATATATATATATTTATTTATTGTAAATACTATTTTTATTTTCTTGATTTTCAGCAAGACATAGCACTAGTAATTACATTGCTTTAATTTTTTTTCCCTTAATTAAATTGTTTGAAGTGGTGGGAGTGTTTTCAGCCTTATTAATGGTGGTTGTGGATCAAATATCTACATCATACACTGTTGAACAACCTCATTATTGCATATTATTATATTATTGGTTGCTCATTGAGTCACTATTATTGCTTGTTGTGTTAATAAGGCCGTTAAAAAAGCATCTATTAAGTCATGATTTAAAAATAATAATATTGGGCTAGAAAAAGTCTAATCCATAAAACTAATTTGATCTAACCCGTGAAAACATTTATTTCAATTCGTAAAATAACGAATGAGATTGATGAGTTTAATATTCACCAATGTATAGGGATTTGACTGGATTAGGTATAATTCATGATCCCATCCCTAGTCACCCCTAATCTACCCAAGTGATACCAAATATTTTATTATTATATTAATATACTTGTCTTTGACAATTTGGTGCAATCAAAACAAATAATTTATTTAACAAAGTTGAATATATATATTTTTTTCAATCCGGTCAAAATAGGTAACTCTTATTTTTTTTATTTTTTATGGGTCTTATCAAAAAAAATAATTTATTCAATAAAAATACATATATATATATATATATATATATTTGGGTATTATCAAAAGAGATAATTTATTTAGTATATATATACATTTATATATATTAATTCTCTTTTTTCGTACTTTTTTTTTATCTTGACAAAAGAAGTAATTTCTTCAATAAATATATTTTTTTTTCCTCTCAAAAGAGATAATTATTTTAATGGTTACTTGTTTTTTTATTTTTGGTCTGGTCAAAAGAGACAATTTATTCAACATAATTTTTTTTTTTAACTTGTTAAAAGAGACCTAAAATATTAAAGATTAGAGATAAGTTGACAAAATTTGAAAGGACGGTTATGTCATTTAAAAAGTAATAATCATTTATTTGTAAAGTTAAGGTTATAATTGACATTTCATTTAAGAATGTAGTGCAAATGGAAAAAATGTGGAGTACGAATAACGCCTCCCTTTATATATTTCATTTAAATTATCTCTTTTGATAATAACAGTTGTATTTAGAAATGTATAATTGATTGTATTTAGATGTTCTATTTAAATTAAATACGTATATATTAAGTTTGGAGGCATCAAATTGGTGAAATGGAATGAATTTCAGTTTAAATCTTGAATAAAATTTTTCAATTTCAAATTTGAGGCACCAATTAGGTGTCCCAAACATAGCAATGAAATTGTTAATTGAATTGAATATTTTGTCTCTTAACAGCTTAGAGCATCTCTAACAGTACGTTATACTAGTTGTCACGTATGATGTGTAAATTTTTTTTATCTACAGCAATCTGTTAAGATACACTATCACGTTAACAATGCGTAAAATTGTTGTGTATTTTACACAGCCACACATCATATTTCATTTTTCCTCCTTCTTTTTCATTCCATTAACGAATCAACTTTATATTAAGTAGGTTTGTAAAAATTATTTGCGGTCCAATCATGACACTGGTTGATTGTTATTAGGGGATATATTTTTACATAAAAGGTATAAAACAACCACGAGAGCTAAAAATAAATAATCCAAATTTTTTGTGTAAATCTATTATAACACAAAATATTTACACAAAAAAAATTTACAACGATGGGAGACGCTTTTAGATGCTTTGACATTAAGGATAATACTTAAGACCTCATGTATTTCATATTCATTTTTTATGTTGACTAATAATAAATGATCATATTCTTTTTTATTATCAAATTAAAAATATTGGTAAGTATATCTTTACTTACCAAATAAAAAATGGTAGGGTACATAGTACATACTTACTAGTATTATTCTTTAATTTTTTATGATTTTATAATTAAAGAAGATGTGCCAATTTATTATTGGTCCACATGAAAGTCCTCACAGGATGACTGTTGATGTGGACCGATAATAAATTGACTCTTTCATTACCAAATTAAAAATGGTAGATACATACTTACTCAGTATAAGGGATGTGCCTATTTATTGATGTGGACCAATAATAAATGATGAGGGTACATACTTACTTAGTATGGAGGATATGCCCATTTATTATTGGTCACATAGTGATCGGGGTGAAGGTCAAAACAGTGGTCAAGGTGGAGTACATCCTCAGTGGTCCTCACCGCGCACCTCTAGCTTATATCTAATATAACATTTTTGCCCTAAAAAAATAAAATAAAATTTGTTGACCTTTTAATGGACCTTCCATAATTGAGCTAATTGCAACTAAGTTTTGTTCAAATTGATAAAAATTTCAAAATTTTCTATGATGTTTTGTTATAGAGTACTGCTATTTCGCCTTACTTAAAAATTTTTTTAAAAAATTGATATATTATGACTTCTACGTGTATGTCTACTTTAAAATCTAAATATGTCAATTAATATAGCTGTTAACAGTTGGAAGATATTTTTTTTCTCTCTATCCAAATAAAGAGATAATACCCATCTTCTCTCCACATCCTCTTTGTGGAACACCGTGAAACTGCAATCATCATCGGAGACATGGCGGAGACCGTGAATATCTACCGCTGGCGCGATTGAGCACCAATTTGACGGCCCAATTTGCAAAATTTGTTTAAATTACGATGAAATTGAATCTTTAAAGATTTGGGTTTGTGGGATTTCTGTTAATTATTTTCTCTCATCTTGCTTTATTCTTATTTCTCAATGTGTGTATATATGAGAGATGAGAGAAAAAAAAATTAACAGAAATCCAACAAACCTAGATCTTAATTACTTTAAAGTTGGAAGTGGAAGAAAATTGAAAATCTTCCATCACAAATCGTCTTCTCTCTTTTCTTTTCTGTGTTTTTTCTTGCTGGAAATCTTATATGATATTAAGACAATAGATTAGGATAAAAATTTCATTCACTGGAGTCTTTTAGTGAAAAAAATATTTTATAAAGAGCAAAATTTCAAAGAAAAATATTTAGATAATTAACATACAGAGAGAAAAAGATGAAAACAATAAAAAAGGAAATGAATTAATCATACGAAGAGTCAGGAGTGAAAAAGGTCAAGAAGACATGGAAGAAAATTGCTGAAATGGTATTTTTGTCTAAAGAAACTTACTGTATTTAATATGGTGTAGGGACGCTTTAGAGAATCATTTATTTATTGCCAAGTTGAAATTCGCATTTTGTTGGGTTTTTTTTGTCGCCTAAAATATCATTTTCCTTTGTTATAAAGAGTGTTATTCACATTCGCTCTTCTCATTGACTATTTTAAATTCATTAAATTCTTGTAAAAAGAGTTAGTTTTGTCTTAGAAAATATTAAGTTTTTAACTTCCTTGGAAATAGGAAGCAAGCATTTAACGTTATTTAAACCGCCAATGAAGAGAGGGACTATGAAAGAACAGTTGCTTAAGTACGAATAAAAACTTCCTTCCACTTTTAATATTTTATTATCTTTGCCATCAACCATTATAAATAAAAATATTTTATTTTAGTAGGTCCTATCACTACGTGTTAAAATTTAATTAATTGGTGATACGATGTTACTAATATAACTGACGTAATTAAGTACATTTTCTCCCTTAGCACTCCTCTTCCTTATATTACTCTTTTTAAGATCATTATTTTGCCTCTTTAAATTCAACCCCTTGTTACCATGTCTTGTAATATTTCTTCAGCTTTTAAAGTGAAAGGTTAATCTAAAGTAAAAAGTTCAATTGTTCAAATTCTTATACGTACAAAGTGAATATGTCAATATGTTTGTTGTCAAAGATAAATAATAATAATAATAAAATAAACAAATAAAAAATTCTAGCCCTAGTTTAGATTCTAAATTTCTAGTTTCAATTTGTGTTATAACTGTGACAAACAAACCAATGATGTAACTTTACAAACATAAAGAATATTTCACTTCAAATCATGACCTAATTTTTCTGATGAATCAATTAGTCTTCTCAGTTATACCTAATATTTGATGAATGACAATAAAGATTCTCTAGGTATACTAACTGTCAGATCATTGTTTGTGCTATCATATATACATTTGTTGTGATTTAAAGAAGGTGTATATACTATATACTTGAATGTACTTTTCTATATTATGTGCATTTGGGCTTGGTCAGTGGGCTAAATGACTGCATGAAATGAAGCTCGGAGTTTGTTCGGCCCAGCCCAATTTTAATTCTTTGATTGGGCTAACCTGGGCCCATTTCAATGAATTGGACCCTTTCTTGCCATTGACTTGATCATTCATGACCCATAGGTCTTGTCAATTTTTTATTTTTATGTGTTAAGGTGTCACTGAGCTTTTGAGATCCATTTTTTATATTAGTTTAACTAAATTTACATAACCGACAAACTTTCAAGTGTGTGTGTGTATATATACATATATATGAATTTTTGTTTTCAAAGTAGTAAAATTGGATAACTCACCTTTCACTCAACTATATTTATCCCATTGATATAGGAATATAATTAGAATTTTAAAATTTCAAATTGATGAAACCAACAAAGATCATTATTGTAGTCAACTAATGGGGAATCTGTTATAGGTTATGAGTGTTGTTCAATAACATTAAAAATTAGGTATTGGAAAATGAAAACCATTTGTTACTTTGTTTAAAATTTAATTGTTTTTAATGATTTATGGAGTTACATCACTTAAAAGTTTAATTATTCTAAGTGAAACTTATTCATTTAAGTGGTATCTAGTTAACTTTATCAATTGCATTTAAGTAAATAATACTTTAATTTGATTAAATTAAGTATTTAATTGAGTATTCAAAACAAAATGTAACTATCTATAGTTAGTTATAAAAGGAAAAGGAAGAGAAAAAGAAAAAGAAAGAGAAAGAGAATTATTTTTGACCAATGTGCCCATTTCTTCAAAACCAAATTTACTCTCAGACAAAAATATACATATATATAGAGATTAAGATTTTAAAATGAAAATTAAGTTGGGTAATTCTAATAATAGTAGATCAAAGGAGTCTTTAACTCAATTTTGGATTATTTATTTAGGGTATTGATAAAGGCCTGAAATTATTATTCATTGATATGTTCATTTGATTTAAACACTTTGATTTTATTAATTAATAATAAAAATCTTTGTTGGACAGTAGTTGGAGTCACACAAAAAAAGATCCCCAATTGCAGCACTATTTTTATTTTTATTTTTATTTTTTTTATAAAAAAAATTCAAAATCATCTTTTAAACATTTTTTTTATTCCCATTTTCTAATGATAATTTCATTTAGTTGAATAGTGTAGAAGGATGATTTATGAAATTATTTTCAATTGCAAAATAATTTAAGAGAATTTTTTTTGTTTTGTTTTTTATTTACTACTTATTTAAATTTTAAATATAATTTAGAGGAAAATGTAAGGCTATAAAATGGTTTGTGTAAATTGAATTTGTGAAGGAGTCTCATGCATATAGGTAGGTCAGGTCACCTAGTCGTCGTCTTCTCCATTTTCGTTCGCTCGCAAGTCATGTTGTCGCTTGTTTTCCACTCATTGGGAATGTGCGTGCGATAAAAAAAACCCTTTACAGGAACATCGAGATCTGTTCTATTCACTTCTCTATCTATATACCTATTTATATATATATATATATATATATATAGATCTGAGGGTCGTGACTTGTGAGCGAAATGGAGAAGACGATGATTGGGTGGGTCGTCGTCGCATTGATCGTAATGTGCAGTGCAACGATGGTGAGATCAGATGGGTCTGATCATCGGTACAAACCTAGAGACCAGGTCCCTCTCTATGCCAACAAGGTCGGTCCCTTCCAAAATCCTAGGTATACACATCTCTCCTATCTCTATTGTTGATTTGTGTATAATTTTGACATTTTGTGGATCTGTTGAATATTTGGTTTGTTGGGTTTATACGAAATGGATCTTTTAGTTCCTTGTTTACATGTTTGTCTGTGTGTATATATACTATAGTCAATATGTATAGTTGTAAAAGTAGAAGAATATCTAGGGATGAACTGGAGCCATTTTCAATGGATGTCGATAGATGAGCTTACCATGCTATGGATTCCTCTCAGTGGGTTGGTTGGTTTCCTAATATCAACTTGATTTCACGATCTTTTTCCATTGATCCTTTAGCAATAGTTTAACAATGTGGAATCTTTTGACCATTGGGCCATTGAATTTGGATTCTTTCGGGAGAGGATCCCTTTCCCCCCAGTGGTATATAACCTCTCCTCTCTCGAAGGGGGAGATGAGGGGTTCAAGCCCTATAGTGGGCAAATCGTGAAATGTGTGTGAGTACTTTACCTAACAAATTTTTTTTTTTTTGAAATAATGTGGAATCTGTTGAAAGTTATTAGATTCAATTTGTAATTAAATTTTTTGTAAGATATAGAAATGGGGACGTGGGGAGACAAAAGAGTATATGTTTAGCTTAAAATTGAAACTCTGTAACTTGTGTTAGAATATTGAGGTGGAGAGTCTTGCTATCATTCTGTTACTAGGTTTGCGTGTATGTGCGTATGCATATAGTCATCACCATTGTCTTTATTTTGTATGAACTAGGTCAGCCACATGTATCCTCTTTTTTCATTCTTATCTATCATAAGTTATTTCTCGACCTATTTTTTTTTTTAATATATAAAACAACATTAAGCATTACAATATGATAAAACATATAATGTATTTAACTATGTAGTATGCCTCCATGTACCCGTATCTACCTTTTGGATGCACATTCCTGTATCCTAAGTAGATTGGTCTGTGCAGATATTTTAAGAATATAACGGGGTTTAGGTAACAAATAATAATAAATAAATAAATAAATAAAATTCTACAGCATACTGGTAACTTCTGAGAAAACTTTTAAGTGCAAACCAAATGTTCTGCAACTGTATATTTAGTTTTGATTCTAAAATTTAAATGGATCCACTGAAAATTAAGTGCGGATATTTCATGTTTGATTTGTTCCTTTTATTCTTTTTATTCCTAATAATAAGCTAAGTATCTAGCGTTCTGGTATTTTAATGTAATTACTTGATGTGTGTGTGTGTGTGTGTGTTTATATATTTATGTATCACCTGATAATGAGCTAATGTCATACTGCTGTTTGTTTTCAATACCAGCGAAACATACCGCTATTTCGATCTCCCTTTCTGTTTGCCAGGTTCACATTTGGTCACCCTTCTTATATTTACTTATAATTTAACATTTGTTTTGACTGTGGATATATTATTGATGGGATGTCAATGGCAGCTCATCTGAAAGAGAAAACAGAAGCTCTTGGTGAAGTACTGAATGGAGATCGTTTGGTCACTGCTCCATATAAACTGGATTTTTTAGTGGAGAAAGACTCAGAAATTGTTTGCAAAAAGAAGCTGACAAAGAAAGAAGTTGCTCAGTTCCGAAGAGCTGTTACCAAAGACTACTACTTCCAAATGTACTATGATGACTTGCCCTTGTGGGGTTTCTTGGGGAAGGTTGACAAGGATGGAAAAGCTGACCCCAGCGAGTACAGATATTATCTATTTAAGCATCTTCATTTTGAGATCCTTCACAATAAGAATCGTGTCATTGAGGTTAATGTACGAACTGACCCTAATGCCCTTGTGGACCTTACTGAGGATAAGGAAGTTGATGTTGAATTCATGTACACTGTCAAGTGGAAGGAAACAGATAGTCCTTTTGAGAAGAGGATGGAGAAGTACTCACAATCTTCTTCACTACCACACCACCTAGAAATCCATTGGTTCTCAATAATCAACTCTTGTGTGACAGTTCTACTTTTAACTGGATTTCTTGCCACGATTCTCATGCGAGTCCTGAAGAATGATTTTGTCAAGTAAGGAATATTTTCCAGTAGTGATCTTCGCTTCATGTTTGTTTGGAATCCTTCTTCTTTTAGTGTTTATATGTATGTTTTTTGGTTTGTGCAAAGGTATGCCCATGATGAGGAGATGGCCGAAGACCAAGAAGAAACTGGGTGGAAGTACATTCATGGTGATGTTTTTAGATACCCAAATCACAAATCTTTGTTTGCTGCTGCTCTTGGTTCTGGCACCCAGCTATTTACCCTGTAAGTATACCTTTGAAGGTGTTTTATTCTACTGGGTGTAGTTTCATTTATCAAGTTGCTTTATACTAATTTTTGAGAAATCTGATATTTAAATGACGTGCATTGTCTTTTCAGTACAATATTTATTTTCATACTTGCACTGGTTGGCGTGTTTTATCCATACAATCGGGGAGCTTTGTTCACTGCTCTGGTTGTCATATATGCACTTACATCTGGAATAGCAGGATATATTGCAGCTTCTTTCTACTGCCAGCTAGAGGGAACAAATTGGGTATGAAGTCATGATTTTTAATATTTTTTTTTATTGCCTGTGCATAGATTTTGATGTTGAAACTTACGTTTAAAATTTTATATAATTTTTATTTAGCACTATCTCTTGCTTAGTGGTTGTACTGAGTTTAATGGTATGACTACCTTGTACAACTTAGATAAAGCCAGTGGAGTTTCCTTACTAAAAAATGCATTTTGCCTTTGAAGTTGATGGTTCTTCTTATTTTTCTTTAACTTTGAAAAATATAGAATGACAAATTCAACCTTAGGAAATTATTATTTGCCTATTGTGTTTGGAATTATGCATATTAGAACTAAAGCTTGATAAAGAAATGACTCCAACTTTTTTCCATTTGAAAAGTGAAGATAGTATTCCTCTCAAATATGCATGAAACTGTGCTGTTAGCATCATCATGTTGCTTGATATTATTGGAATCCCTCTGGCCTTGGTCTGACTTTCTCTCACCTCTCTTAGATAAATCCTCACGACTCAGGCCCCAAACGAGTTCAACTCGGGCCATTTCAGTTTGGGTTTGCTCCTTTTTGTCAGATCAGTTTTTCATTTTTTATTTGTATTATATAAGGGCATTTAGGTAAATCTACTCTATTAACAGAAACTTAACAGCAGGCCGCTTGTTTGCATGCTTTCTTGCTGGAGGGGTATTTTCCAGACATCAGGGGTTTATATGTACTATATGCATATCATAGGTGTTTTTCTTTCTTTTCTTTTCTTTTTTCTTTTTCTTTTTGGTAGTTTACCCCTATTTTCTGATAATCAGATGAAAGCATATTTTTGCTTTCCTTTAAGATGAAGGAAATTCATTTTGGTTATACACTTGTACACCTTTGAAGTTATTTTCAAAAAATGGGTTGTTCATTTTATGTCCTGTTTTAAATGGCTGCAATAGAAATAGCATGCCGTCATAATAATTATGAGATGTACGCTGGTCCATGGCATTGCTTCAAATGTTCCTTCGTTTTTTTCATCAATCAAAATTACAGCCCAATTGTTGAAACCAAAACTAAAATGATGCTGATCTTATGCTCCATATCTGATTCAACAGGTGAGAAATTTGATGTTGACTGGAAGCCTGTTTTGCGGACCTCTGTTTCTCACATTCTGCTTTCTCAATACTGTTGCAATTGCTTACAGTGCCACTGCAGCACTTCCTTTTGGTACAATTGTTGTAATTTTCCTCATATGGACTTTAGTAACATCACCTTTGCTAGTATTGGGAGGTATTGCTGGGAAGAATAGCAAGGCAGAATTTCAAGCTCCTTGTCGCACTACAAAATATCCTAGAGAGATCCCGCCATTACCTTGGTACCGTGGAGCTCTTCCTCAGATGGCGATGGCAGGGTTTCTGCCTTTCAGCGCAATTTATATTGAACTTTACTACATATTTGCCAGTGTTTGGGGTCATAGGATCTACACCATTTACAGCATCTTATTTATAGTCTTCATCATTCTGCTGATTGTTACTGCTTTTATTACTGTGGCATTGACATATTTTCAACTTGCTGCTGAAGATCATGAATGGTGGTGGAGGTATGTATATTGTTCACTTGTTTTGCTATTTCTGCATCATGCTTGGAAAGTTTTCTCATGCTGTGGCACATTTGATCAGCTGTAGTTGGTTTGAATTTTTCCTAATATATATATATATATATATATAGTAATGATCTCTTGCTCACTGGAGATATGATTTTAGTGTAAAAAAGGTAATTACCAAAAGAACATAGCAAACAAATCCAACGATCACCATGGTGTGGAGCAAGAGATCATTTCCGCGTGTGATATATATATATTCATATTCTGATGACTCATTTTCCATTTAGTGGTTGCTTGGTTGGAATTGTTACTATTATGTTTTGCATGGTTTGTATGTAGTAGATATCAATCCATGGTTTTTGCATGGTAGTCTTAACATATTGGCAAACTGTGAGAAAATATTTTAGATTCTCACTGCTGCTCTTCTTCCTTTGACATCACGTGATTGCATTTTTATTTTTAATATGACTACATTATATCTGTTCAATATTTTGTAGCCATCTCTTCATAACTCTGTTATGTCCTTCACGAAGGTCAAATATGTGGATAATTTGCACCAAATAACATATATGAATCTTTCACTCAATAGAATAAAATTATTTGTTACAATGTATTAAACACGGGAGAAGTTTGAAGCACCAGTGAAATTTAACTATTTTAATATATTTGTCAATTGTGGTCCCTATGTAAGAATGATAATACCCAAACTCATCAACTGCATTCTAAATTTATGTTTGCAAATCTGCTGTATAGTAATCTGTCTTCTAGATTCAGAATACGTGACAAACCAAATGAAATTATCTTTTAAAGCTTTCCTAATGACTGATAGGATTAATGTAGTGCTTTAGACTCATGTTACATGAAAATCGTAAAATTATGACACGGGGAAATCTTTTAGGATTATGGTTGTGCAGCTTTGGTAAGGGTCTGGGGGTGATTTGTAAATGTTTGGTGAAATGGTGATGAAAAGTAAGCATATATAAGCCTTCAGGAGTGGGATGTGAAAGGGCACTAGGAGAAGGTTGGGGAGTTATTCATTGAACACATTGACTATGGAATTGAGGCTATGAAATTGGGGGTAGTCGAAGTTTGAGTCTCTATCGTAGTTCGATGTGGAGTGTTTCCTAAAGGGGTTGTTCTCGGACCGTTTTGGGGTCTTAGTGAATAAGAATCCCCATACCGCATAAAATGTGGTATTCTCAGAGCATGGAGCAGTTTGGGACCTTCAGTTTTTGTAGGAATTATATGATTCGAAGTTATTGGTGGATTTATTATTTACTTATTTATTGCTTATGGTGTTCCCCGTGCTGGAGATAGATTTTGTTTGAGGTCAAAGGCGGAACTATCAAGGGGCCATGGCCCCACCAAAAATTTTCTGAATCTAAGTATCTTATAAATACTTGAGTTATAAAATAGTAAAACAAATTAAATACGTGGCCCCTCCAAAATTTCGTAAATTCCCTAAAAATAGGCCTCTTGTAAATAGTGAACCACAAAAGTAGTAGAAAGATTTTATATGTGGCCCCCAAACCTATAAAAACCTCAATTTGAGTCCTTTTAGTCTTGTTTTTGTATATCTACATTTGAAGGAAATGGACAAAAATTTCAAATATGAACACTACTTACATATTATTCTTCTTATTTAACCACATTTTGGAATTGATGCCTTTCCTAAAAAGTTCTTAGCGGAAGGACATTGTCACGCTGAAACTAATTTTGTTTGGCCAGTTTGCTTAAATTACAGTTCATACATCGTTTTAATTTTGTTGTTAAGCACTGTGATTCTAGGAGTATGACTTCATAATTCATTTGTTTTCGTTACTGCTTTTTGTGAAATCATATTTGCATTTAGATGGTAATTATGGACTATATGGTACATTTAGGGAAAAAAGCTTCAATCTTTGTTTCTTGTTTGCTTCTTGGTGCACCGACCACTGACTCATGGTTGTCATTATCAGGTCTTTCTTTTGCGGTGGATCAACTGGTTTGTTTATCTATGGCTACTGCCTGTATTACTACTATGCACGATCGGATATGTCAGGTTTCATGCAGACGTCCTTCTTCTTCGGGTACATGGCTTGCATCTGCTACGGGTTCTTCCTCATGCTTGGAACCGTCGGCTTTCATGCTGCTCTCTTCTTTGTCCGTCATATATACCGCTCGATCAAGTGTGAGTAGTAAGTCAATTAGTTGGTCTTCTGTGTTCATGTGGTATGCTTCAAAGGTTTGGGATGCCATCTCTGATCAAGGAGGGCCATGTAGGACAGTAGGACTTCTCAGGAGGAAGCTTCTATTGTTTCATAACGGCATAATGTGGAAAATATTCTTCTTCTTTTTACTTTGCGGCTCAACAAAATATATTCATATTTTAGTTTTAGAATCTTTTTTTTTTTTTTCTTCATTTTGTGAAATTCTGTTTTTGTTTCAATGTTCTAAAAGCAAAAATAAATATGGGCAGAGGACATTTCGTATATTCTTTATTATAAGATTTGAATAACCAGTTCAGAGATGGTAGAGTTTTTGGAGGGCATTGCAGAGTATCATGGTTTTTGGAGGGTGTAAATGTAATATGATTCATGAGGTATCAATGGAATAAGAAAAGTAAAAAATTGGAGTCCGGATCCTGTACAGTACACTGCGTTGTACCGTAATGGATCAAATATTGCATTGTATCAGTATAAATTGGCCGGAGGTGTGTAACGGTATCGGTCCCTTAGGAAAGGGTTATGAACCGTTACGAGGAACTATGGGACGCAATTTCCCCCACGGAAATTATCTTTTATTTGCATTTTTTACACTTAAATCTTGATAATTCTAAAAGAGCTCTAACAAGATTTTCAATATATATATTTTTCTTAGTTAATACACACGCACACCCCCTCCAATAAATTAATTACTAGTCTAATCTCAAACCTGATAGTCAAAAATATCTTAATAAAAACTTCCAAAAGTAAAAAAAGAATCCCTCACTTTTTCACTCATTTCTCCAACAAAATTTTTAAAATTCAATAAAGACCCATATTAAGAATAACAATTCTAGAAAAGTCTCCTCAATTGCTATTGAATTTTATGTTATTTGTATTTTCTATACACAGATTTTGATATTTTCAAAATTCAGGAATAACACTCCTCATTTGCTATTTATTATTTTGGTCCAATATATATATATACACACATATTATATTATTAATGGTTGCCACATGACTTAATTACTTGGCTCCACCACTAAAATCCATCAGCTCTCGTATTTAAATCCATTCCCTTCACCCACCTAGGTCGTGGTCACATCCCTCACCACCACCTGGTCACACCAACCACAAATATGCACAACTTGTCAATGGATCCAAAATAAATACCCCCACGGACAATAAATTGGTATGTACATCTATATATGTATATGTCTAAATAATCATGATGTGTAAATTGTCCCAAGATTATGCAATTTTCATCTTCAACTCATATTCGCATCGAACACATATCTAGCTTTAATTTATTATTATTATTATTATTATTTTCATAAGTTTGAGACTTTCTTAGACTTCATAATCACTTGAAACGAGTCATTGACATGTTTGATACAATCTTGTATTTAAAACTATGAATGTTGGTTTTTTAAAACTTTATGTAAACCCTATTCTTGTCACAATAAGCATGTGTATACAAATGTAAATGTAGAGGCATACATGTATAGACGATAATAGAATATGATAGATAAATCAGCTGTACAAAACGTTGGTTTGGTGGGGGAGGGTCTTGTGCTCTCTTCTCTTCTAAGTTTAATACTGCAACTATATTGAGTGGGAGTAAGGACCAACCCTATGTAAATTATGCATAATTAAAGTTTTGTTTGTTTGAATGTAAAATATTTTTTTAAAAGTATATATTTTTTATTTTTTGTGTTTGGTTGTCGTAAAATATTTATAAAGAAAAATATATTAATATCTAAATAAAATAATTTATTTATCTATTTTTGACAAATTATTTTACACGTTTCGCTCAAGGGACACGACCTTAATCTCGACATAGACTTAGACCCAGACCTTTGCCAAACCCTGGAAATATATATATATATCTGGAAAAAAATAATTTAAAAAAAATATATTTTACGTCGAAACAAACGGAGCCTAAGGTGCACCTCCTCAATAAAATTTAGCAATCACAATTAGATAATAATAAGCTTATTGAAGGGGTGAGCAAGGCATGCCATATTGGCGTAACCACCTAATCAAAATAAACTATTCAAATAATTTGGTCATATTTAAATATAAAAACTTCTCTTGATTAACTAGCACGATGTATTTTGATTTGGTCGACAATATCAATAACTTGATATGCCCCACTCATCTAATATCTTCATTCTCTCAAGCATTTCAATCAATTCTTCTTCTTCTTCTTCTTCTTCTTCTTTTTTTTTTTTTTTTTTTTTAAATTTTTTTGGCAAATCGAAATATAATTATTAAACTAGTCCACACAATTTTTTATAATAATATAGAAACAAGTTTGTAGATCAAAGTGAAAAATCCAGAGAACATACGAGGAATGAAAAGTCTTGGATCATTATTATAAGCAAATAACTTGTAGTTCACAATACAAATGACAGTTACATTATGAACAATAGCAAAATTTGAACATTTCTACTTTTATATAAATGTTTTAAGTTACATTTATTTTTTTAAGGTAAGAAGTGTTATAGTAATTGTCCGGTGCATATAAAAGAAGGAATTATAGGCTTAGGTGGTGGATTATAAGGTGTATAGAGAAGAGACACCACCATGTCAATTTATTTATTTATTTTATTTTAAACTTTATAAAAATTATTAGGATAAAATACAAAAACACACTTGAATTATGTTTAAATTTGTAAAAAACCCTGAACTATATTTTGTGCATAAACCCCTTAGAAAATCACATTTTGTTGCAAAATACTAGAATGCTTATATTATATTCTATTAAATGATCATAATGTTCTTTCTTATTGAAATACACTTAATTTATTTTTTTTATTTAAAATAAATTATGAAAAAAATTCATACTAATTTGATGACATATTTTTCATTAAATTTGCATAAATATACCATTAAAATTTGAAATTAATTGTTTAAATAAAAATCTTAAGTAGAAAATTTTAAAACAATTTGATCAATTTCTTAATTTTTTATTAATATATTAGTACATAAAAAGCTAGGTATTTTTTATTTAAGAAGTTTATTATTTTTTCATCAATATATTGTATAAAAAAGAAGAAAATTTTCTATGATAAAAAGGTTTAAAATGGGTATAATAAATTTTATTATAAATAATAAAATTTTAATGATAAATTATTTATTTTAGAAAATAATAGTTAAGAGTCTATTTAATTTTTTTCATTTTTAAGGTAAATACTAAAATTCATATTTAGATAAGAGAAAAGAAAACAAAATAATTTAATTATAAATGACAAATTTAATGAGAAAAGGTGAAAACTTCTTTAACTGTAATAAATTAATAATTTAAGAGATAATATTTAATTCAGGGATTTGGTTTGCTTCAGTGCACTTTACCCAAAATAATAACGTGTATATACATATAAATCTTAAAATCCAAATTTTAATAAGGTCCACATATATATGGTAACCGGTCACTTTCGTTTTCGTTTCGGTGCACCGGTAATGTTGACTGCTTACCACTCTCTATAAAAGCGCGTGGGAATACTCTCCACCCTTTAAATTCTTGCTTCTACATTTACTACCGCCTCTACCGGTTTCAAGATCTCGAATGCCCTTTCAGGGATCTCGAGATCCCTCCCTCTCTTTCTCGCTCTCAAACTGTGTGTCAAGTGTGTGTGAGAGTGTGTGCGAGTCTTAAGTAAAATGGAGAAGACGATGGAGTGTCTCTTCGTCGCATTGCTCGTAATTTGCAGTGCCACACAGGTGAGATCAGATTCGTCTGATCATAAATACAAAGCTGGAGATCAGGTCCCTCTCTACGCCAACAAAGTCGGTCCCTTCCACAATCCCAGGTATATAGAACATCTGATCTGTGGTATATATCTGCATATGCATGTACATGTTAAGTAATTTTTTGAATGAAATCTGTAGAAATTGTGAGATTTTTAGTTGTTTTTGCAGATTACAATGTGCGTCCTTGAATTGAATTTTGTGGATCTGTATGTGAATTAGCTTTTTTGTTGTGCTCGAGTTGGATCGTATTTTCAGACTTCGTTTGTATATATACACATACATATGTGAATACATTAGCTGAAAGCCAGTGATGTCGGTGGACTTAAAAAGATCTAAATCCATCTTCTGATGAGTTTTACTTGGTAGATAATAGCTAAAGCAATTATGCTTTGATTGTTTCACCATTTGGTCTCAGTTAGGTTGTTTGAGACAATGTAAACATTTTTCTAAATCATCCATATTAATTTAAGCTGAATTTTGTGCATTTAGCTGGTAGATGAGGTGCTCCAGCTCTATAAAATCGGAATTTTTGTGAATTCAGCTTAATGTAATTATCCCCAAGACGAAGAATTTTCACCTTTGAATTCACTACCATAATTCCACAAGCACTTCTCTTTTATTGGGTATCCAAGGCAATTGAAGGCGTGTTTTATCGTTGCATTTTTTGAGCTTGTCCAACCTACTCATTGTACCATACATCTTGAAAGTCTTTAGCAGCGAGGTCGTGATAAAGTGCAGTGATGTGAGTTGTGACAGATGGTCATTTATCTCCCTGTTCTTCTACACATGATACACTAATTAGGCGAGAGATGAACTTCAAGTCGCCTTTTTCTAAAGTCCTTTGAACAACTTCCTAGCTAAAAATATGACTTTCAGGGGTACTCTTATTTTCCAAATAAATTTGAGGGAAAGTTAGATATTCAAAAATCTATGATGACGGACAAGAAAAATGATTTACAGTAGAACACATTGCTAGTCTGAAGAATCCACTCCCAGTCTATGCACTTGAGAGTGAAGTTGCGAGTCACTTGCCAGAAAAAAGGAGGGGTGGGGAAGTGGGGAAGACAATTCTCAAAATTTCCGTATCTTAGTATTCCTAAATATTCAAATTCCATCAGAGGAAAGACCGGTAAGCATGCAGGAAACAATATAGCAATTGAAGCCCCTTAAGTAGCAAAAAGCAGGAAGAGTGTAAAAAACTATGAAGAAGTTTATCTCCTGCCATAGGATATCGAGAAGCATATACACAACCTGTTTCCTAATGGAAATCTAATGGGAGTAGAAAAGACTGAATCCTTTGAAGGACAAGCAGTGAAATCTGCGAACCTTCTGCCTGGTTGCACGTCAATGGGCCTAAACATATGCACTTCCTGATTTTTTCCTCAAATAGTATGTGTGTGTGCATATATATATGTACGCAAGTAATTTTAAGTGAAAGCAGGAGCTGCAGGACAATATTGTTCTTTTTGTGCAGAATTTGAAAAATAAATTCGAGTATTAGGACCAAAAGAATATATATGAGAAAACTTTTAGAGAAGTTTTTAAAAGCTTATAAAGAGCTTTGGGAAAACCTGAGATTGAAAAGCTAAAAATTATATGACCGCCTAAATGTATTGGTACTTCTTTCTTTCTGAGATTGAAATTGAGAACTGTAATCTGGTGAATCTTTTGTGTGCATATTTTTTTATGGGAATTTTTTTTTTTGAAAGATATTGGAATAGTAGGGTAGATTAGCTAATTTTCAAAATTTAGGGATATGTCTGTGTTTTTTCTCTTTTCTTTATATGTATTTCTCTATATATTTTTTATGATAGACTAATGACATTCTGTTGCTTCTGTTTTCAATTTCAGTGAAACTTACCGCTATTTTGATCTCCCATTTTGTTTGCCAGGTTTGCATATGATCATCATTGTTTTCATTTCTATTAAATGTTAGTTCTTGTGTATAGAAGTATATATTGTGACGGGATGTAAATTGCAGCTCATCTAAAAGAGAAAAGGGAAGCTCTTGGTGAAGTGTTGAATGGGGATCGATTAGTCAGTGCTCCATATAAACTTGACTTTTTAGTCGAAAAAGACTCTGAAATTGTTTGCAAGAAGAAGCTGACAAAGGAAGAAGTTGCTCAATTCCGAAGTTCTGTCACAAAGGACTACTATTTCCAAATGTACTATGATGACTTGCCAATCTGGGGTTTCTTAGGGAAGATTGACAAGGAAGGCAAAGCTGACCACAGCGAGTTCAAATATTACTTATTCAAACATCTTCATTTTGAAATCCTTTATAATAAGGATCGTGTCATTGAGATTAATGTTCGAACTGACCCTAATGCCCTTGTGGACATTACGGAGGACAAGGAAGTTGATGTAGAATTCATGTACACTGTTAAATGGAAGGAAACAAACACTCCTTTTGAGAATAGGATGGAGAAGTATTCACAGTCTTCTTCGCTTCCTCATCACTTGGAAATCCATTGGTTCTCAATAATCAACTCATGCGTGACAGTTCTCCTTTTAACTGGATTTCTTGCCACGATTCTTATGCGAGTCCTAAAGAATGATTTTGTTAAGTAAGGGTCATTTCCCATTTACTACAGTCAGCACTTACACTGTTGGTTTAAACCCTTTCCTATTATGGTTTTTATCATGTAATTATATATATATTTTTGTTTAAAAGGTATGCTCATGATGAGGAGACAGCTGAAGACCAAGAAGAAACTGGGTGGAAGTATATTCACGGGGATGTTTTCAGGTATCCGAAATACAAGTCCTTGTTTGCTGCTGCCCTTGGTTCTGGAACACAGCTATTTACCCTGTAAGTATGCCTTTGAAGTTCCATTTTTCAATTGGGTTTAGCTCAATCGAGCAAGTTGGTTATCTATTCTTGATGGGTGATTGATGATCTTAAGTGTGCATTTTTTTTTTTTTTCAGCACAATATTTATATTTTTACTCGCACTTGTTGGAGTTTTTTATCCATACAACCGTGGAGCTCTGTTCACTGCACTGGTTGTCATGTATGCACTTACATCCGGGATAGCAGGCTATACTGCAACCTCTTTCTACTCCCAGTTAGAGGGAACAAATTGGGTATGCTATTTTTGGATATTATTTTGTTGACTGCTTGATGGATGTCAAGAGTTCTTTACTTAGGCTACATAGTACTCATGAAGATGTACATTAGCCAGTGGTGTTTGTCCATTTCCTTTTTCCACTCTCTTTTTAAATAACAATTGAAGTTTATATGCCGAAATCTACTGTGAACTATAGTGATCTAATTTTCTATTGCTGATTTGACAGGTGAGAAATTTGTTATTGACAGGAAGCCTGTTTTGCGCACCTCTGTTTCTCACATTCTGCTTTCTTAACACCGTTGCAATTACTTATACTGCGACTGCAGCACTGCCATTTGGTACCATTGTTGTGATAGTTCTTATTTGGACGCTAGTAACAACACCCTTGCTGGTATTGGGTGGGATTGCAGGAAAGAATAGCAAGGCTGAGTTTCAAGCTCCTTGTCGCACTACAAAATACCCTAGAGAGATACCGCCATTGCCTTGGTATCGTGGAAGCCTTCCTCAGATGGCAATGGCAGGGTTTCTGCCTTTCAGTGCAATATATATTGAACTCTACTACATATTTGCCAGTGTTTGGGGTCACAGGATCTACACCATATACAGCATCCTATTCATAGTCTTCATCATTCTCCTGATTGTTACTGCTTTTATTACCGTAGCATTGACATATTTTCAACTTGCTGCTGAAGACCATGAGTGGTGGTGGAGGTATGAAACATAATGTTCTATAAATTTTGTTCTTTCTACATCATGCTCTATTAAAAAATTCACATGCATATTGCACGTCCAACTTTAAATGCTTCCGATGTTCATAAATTTGAATTATTTTTATGACATTATTTTGTGCTTGATTGCTTGGTAGGGATATTCTTTTTTGCTGTTTGTCTTGGTAGTATTTTGAAGTTTATAATTGTACTTACCTCAGAATGATGGATCTTGAATTATCATTTTATGTTATGCAAATTAATGTCCAATAAAGTCCAGGTTATTTGCTTTAATATCTGATAAATTGGCAAAAAAAAGAAAAAAAAAAAAAAAAGAAAAAGAAAAAAGAAGAAGAAGAAAATGTTTCAAAGAGAATCTCATGCTGGTAATAATGTTGTTTGGTTAAATTTTCTTAAATTGTCAGATGGTTACTATTTCCTGGATTCTCTGTAATTCAGATTTTGGTTCTGTGTATTATTTCCGGTTCTATTTTGGATTGTTTGGAATACATATTCCTGCTTCTTTCTTGTATTCCAAAGCTTGCTAGCTGTAGCTTTTTGTAATTCATTTTTTTCATTGTAAATTGTGATTACAAACTCTATGTCAAACATTTGCATTTACGGAATGTGTTTGATTGTTACCATCAGGTCTTTCCTTTGTGGTGGATCAACTGGCTTGTTCATCTACGGCTACTGCTTGTATTACTATTATGCACGATCAGATATGTCAGGTTTCATGCAAACCTCGTTCTTCTTTGGGTACATGGCTTGCATCTGCTATGGTTTCTTTCTCATGCTAGGGACTGTTGGTTTCCGTGCGGCTTTGTTCTTTGTCCGTCACATATACCACTCAATCAAGTGTGAGTAGTGCATTGGATCGTCAAACTTCTCGTGTTGAATAGGTATGTTTCATATTCCTATATTGTGCCCTCTATTGTAGAAAATTTTGTAGGATGTCTAACGAATGGTTGAAACCGTCCTTGTGTTAAGTAATTCTGTTCGTGTTATTTATCCATAGCAATTGGTGGTTGCTGATTACTTGATTTACAGATTCGTGATGACGCGTTCGATCAAAGTGGACTACGTAGAACAACAGGCGTTCTCAGAATGTAGCTTGTATTAGTTCCGCGTATGGCAAGCATTCCACGGAGATCGTTCTTCTTCCTTACTGCGGTGATAGTTCAATAATTGATGAGAGAGATAGAAATTTAGGCCTTTTTTTTCTCTTTCAAATCTTGCTTTTTGTCTCGTTATATTGAAAGAAAATATGAAACATGGGCACAAGTGTATGTCTTCTGCAGTGCTTAATTTTCAGTTTTACCCTGTACGGTTGGATCTGATGTTAATTTTCAGTTTTACCCTGTACGGTTGGATCTGATGTTGATGTTTCGTTCAAGCAATTCATTGGTATCATGTAACGTACTTATTGCTCTATATTGCATTACAACTCTTCCTTTTTAATGCAAGGCCAAGAACCCAATGGTATTAATGGAGAAATTATTACATGGTTCCGGGTCTATTGGTCCTGACTTGTACCACCTGTGACGACTTTGGTTTTTCAAATCAATGCGTTTTGTGATGAATCGAAGATTGACCCAATAATGAATCTAGATGTGGAAGCAAGAAATAAGACAACGGTCTCTCAAGGCACAACACACCTCTAAGACACTTTGATGACCTTCCATGAGGTCGTGGAATTTAATGAAAACTGACGCTGAAGCAAAAGATTAGAAAAATAACAATTAAGCCTCCAGGGGCAAAATAGTCATTTTACATGAAAATGACGTTCCTCGAATGTATATCATTCTCGAGACATATCCGTGATTTCTCATAAAGTCACAGAACTCAAAAGAAAGTAGCGGAAGCGAAAAGTAAGAAAAATCGGATAAAAATAGTCTCAAGGGTAAAATAGTCATTTCTTAAAATATGAATTCGGGTGCCACCGAGCACATTACTGGAAAGAGAACAAAAAACTAATCAAGATGGACTCAAGAATTGCATGATTCGAAGTTCGGATGAAGGAGAAACGGCATGACGAAGAAAAACGAGCACTTAAGGCTAAAAGGGTAAACTGGTAATTATTCAGGAAGATCCGGGTGCACCAATACGCATGGTTCGCAATATCGGTCAAGATTGCGGTTGCGGTCGCGGTCGTGGTGTAACGGACTCGGACAAAATTAGTGTAAACTGGCCGATACGAGTCACGTATCGAATTTGAAAAATGGTCGCGTATCGGACGATATTGCGAACTATGATTCACGCAAGAATTTGTGCCAAGTTTTTTTTTTTTTTTTTTGCTTATGTGTCAATTAGCGATTGGTCGGGACCAATGGTCTTGGGACGGTATTAATAATTTGACAAAAGCTAATGAATGAAGCATGTTGAGAGGATTGTTGGTCTCAGCTTTGGACCACCAACAAAGGTTCAGGCCTCAAAATGTGGAAGAAAATCATTCGATTGTGTGCTAAAGCAATAATATGCCTGCCGATGTGCAGTTTGGATATGCCAACGCCTTCCTTCTACTTGCACTAATGCTTTGTTGGGTAGGAAGGAAGGAATAGGGGTAGACAAAACATAAGAAGAATAAAGAAACAAATTTCATTCGGTATAAAAAAAAAAATTAAAAAAAAAAAAAAAAAAGGTTTGGGAAAGAAAGGATAATATGTCATCCTTTATGAATTTTTATCCTCCATATATTGGCAAAAGAGAGGAGGGAGGGCAAGTGAGGCTATTACAAGTTTTAAATTATAATATTAGCCTCCATAAATTATAATATTATATAAAAAGTGATAAGTATAATGGAAAAACTAATATAAAACTCTTTCTTCCCTTCTTTTCTAATGAATACAGTAATTTATAAAGCTTATTTAGTTATCTTCCGTCCAATTGAATAAAAAGAGGGAATGATATAATTTTTTCTCTAAAGATGTTTCATCCGCATCTATTCTCTATTAAGCCTATACCGGTAAGTCTCAGTTAGGAATAAAGTTAGAAAATCTTTGTTCATATATTCCTCCCCATATGATGGTTGAATTAATGCAGAGTGTTCATTGTGATCATCTTAGAGGCTTCACTGGTTAGTTAGGCTAGCCGGCAGTGAGCTACAAAGTACGAAAATTGGAAAATTAGACAATTGTCTCACTGGTTTGATGTGAGTGGAGGCGTACGTGAGTCTCACCACTGACGTCATGATTTGTTCCCATCATTGACGTCATGATTTATCGGACACTACTAATGTTATGAAGTTGTTCGACAATTGTCTAAGTGATTTATAATGTAAGTGGGGGCGTAAGTCTCACTACTAACGTCATTATTTGTCCGATACCACTGACGTCAAGGAGTTCCTCCCAACTTTTTTCCAAATTTAACAACTCAGGAAGACTAATGTCATGATTTATTGAACGCCAATGATGTCATGGAGTTATTTGACAATTGTCTGATTGGTTTAATGTAAATGGGAGCATAAGTCTCATCACTGATGTCATGATTTGTCCGACACCACTAACATCATGTAGTTGCTCACAACTTTTTTTTTTTTCCTTCAGATTTAATAACACAAGAGGAAGACTGACCGTCATAATTTGTCGAACTCCACTGATGTCATGAAGTTTTCTATAGTTGTCTGATTGATTTAATGTAAGTGGGGGCGTAAGTCTCACCACTGACGTCGTGATTTGTCCGACACCAATGACGTCATGTAATTGCTCCAGCCATTGACGTCATGATTTGTCCGGACATTTTGATGTTATTTGACAAAATCCATTTGTGGTTGGAATGTCATAAACAACAATGGATTTGCAATTTTTGAATAGTCGTTGCATTTAAAAACTACTTCAAATTATCATCCAATATTCAATAAAACCATTTATGTTATATTTGGGAGTACGAATAAGTGTCTTGAATTTGAAATTGAAGAAAGTTTAGTTCAGAATTTGTATTAATTTTTTTTTCAATTCCAAATTCAAGATGCAGATTGGGTGCCGCTAAATATAACTTTAGTCTTAGTCATTGAATTCCACCAAAAGGTGGGCAATACTGGAGATTGAAAGAAGTAACTGCTTGGGTTACCTAATAAAACTGTAGTTACCTAATTAAATTCTTGTCAATGTTTGTGTTACTCAAGTGAACATACATTGTTACTTCTCTGCTTCATTAACGTATTCATTCGATTGATGGACTGGTCTTCTAGTAGTTCATACCAAACTTAAACTTCTATCAAAGACCAAAAATAGAAAAGATACCATTCTACATATTGTTTTATCTCGATCTCGAAAGTTTACTTGTATAAAAAAAGAGTTGAACTCGCTCACATAAAACAATTGAATTAGCCTAATTATCAAATTATATATTATTTTTTAATTAACTATATTAATTGAAGCATTTAATTCTTGTTTCGTTGGCACATTCAATTCTCTATATTCTCTATAATCTTACTAACAACCTTCCAAATATTTCTGTGTTGTTAATTACTTCCCAAAAGGGCCTTAATTAATAGTCAAGGAATTTTTTCCAGTAATTGTCAGGTGAATCTAAGAAACCGGACAGCACCATCTATCGTCTACATACTAAAACATTGTTATTCTTTCATCGACATTAAACCCTAATTCTCGATCCACATAACTTAATTTCACACACACATATATAATAAACTAGAAAATGATTAATTAATTTCATGAACCACCGGTGACACTTCCATTGAAGATCTCAATAGTATCACCTTGTCCAACGTGGTGCCACCGGAAAGACCTATCCTCGTCCATCACATTCTGCTTGTAGATGAAAAAAAACCCATCCATCGGAAGATGAAAATGGAATCTATGATGCAACCTCTGCAACTCCTTCCTCAGCTCTCCCACATTGTCCATGGCATTCACTTCAACCGGAATCTTTTTCGTCCCGCATTTTGTCAGCACCATCACTTTCAGCTTCTTGGACCCGCCGGTCGAGTTCCCGGATGCCGAGGAAGCCGTCGGGGACGGCCTGAGACCCACCTCGATCTCTGAATGGTCCGAGAGCTCACTCTCCTGCAGAGACCGGGGGTCCTGTAATTCGACACCGTTTGCATGGAGCACCAATCTGTTTATTGGCACACCATCTGTTTCGTTGATTCTTTCTTTCAGTCTCCGGACGGTGTCGTTGACGTCCATTTCGAGGGCGACGCCGAGTTTGGACGTGGGCATTTTCAGGAGGAGCTGGATGGTCTTCTTGTTATTGCACGGCTGCGATTCTTCGACCTTTACGCTAGCTTTTTCTGGGTCTACGGCAACCATGAGCTGGATTTTCGATCGGTCAAGGATTTCGGAGGAGTGGACGTTGAGTTCGTCGTGGAGGACTTGGTTGTTGAAGATTAGGGTTTGTTTGGGAATGGGAATGCCATGGTATCTCTGGATCTTTTCTTTGATCTCTGAGACTGTATCGAAATAACCCACTTCAATGGTAAATGACCGGCCTCTTGTGGGTTCAAAGAAGAGGTCCATTTTTCAGTAAGTTTGGAGGAATATATTGTGAGTATATATATATATATATATATATATATATATGTCTCTCTCTCTATATATATATAGATATATATTGTTTATGTCTAAGTTGAAGCCTATATAACTGCATGTTTGTTACACAATCTTAGCAGCTGTAACAACATCGGATATTGGGCAGATTTGGATAATACTATTCCCCTGGTGAAATTATTTAGCTGTTGGTGGACCACAGCGGTGTTCTCTTCCTGGTGTTCATTATTATTGTTATTATACTCATTCTATCTCATATTAGTAGTTTATTTATTTATTTTTTTACATATCCCAAATTAGTTGTTCTTTTTAAAAAGTCAAAGCAAATAAATTCCATATTTCCATCATTGTCTTTTATTTTTTAAAAAAAATTCAAACTTTATAATTATATATATTTAAATTAGAAGGGACAAATTGGTAATTTTAAAAAGGAACAATGCATTAAATGCTTGTCCCTTTAAAAAATTCCAGTTCTAAAAATGGACCTCTAATGTGGGACGGAGGAAGTATTTTTTAAGATTTTATTAAAATTTTTAGGTCTTTTGTTTTTAATTAGAGAGTTTTAATTAATACATTATATATATATAGTTAGAAGGGTGGGTCTTACTACATAATTTTTTAAAAAGTAATGATAGGGAATTCAATGGTTGGACACATCAGACTAAATTTATGTGAGTAAAAACTAAGGACTGATGCAATCATGAATATTAGTGACATCCTATTTTTGGATTTCAAATCATTATCCTTTTTTAAATCACTATATTTCACTAGTTTAACTATTTGTGAAGTCATTTAACTTAGACCATTAATAACTTAAAGTGGGACTTACATACTTTTCCCATCAGCCTTAATTAATTCAAGGGTAAAGTATACTGACACCCCCTGAAGTTTGGCAAAATGACACACAGATGCAACTTATCCTATTTTGGGACAAAGACACCCCCTTGTAAAATTTATCATCCAAACAGAGCCTTAAAACATGTGAAAAGTTCATTTTATGTAATACCCCTAATTATATAAAGGAGAGTCCTGGTATTTCATTAATTGTTTAATTAGAATTTTAATGGTTTATTATTTGACTTATTTGAATTACTTGAATTAAATTGTAATTATGTGAAGTATTTGAATTAAATTGTGATTATATGAATTAATTGACTTAATTGTGATTGTGACTTTTGAATTATTGGTGTTAATTAAATAGTTTGTTTTAATGATTTCGTTAAATTATATTGGTTAATTATATTATTTGATAAATTGGTAATTATTTAATTAAGTTAATTATTGAATTGTTTTGTGTCCACAGTTTATTTGTTTTACGTTGTGTAAGTTAGGGTTTTATGTCTCATATTGTAGCCAACTTTTGGTTAGTATATGAATTAGGTTTTGGTGATATTCGAAGCCTATAAATACTATATGATATGTCAACTTAGGGTTTAAAAGACAGAACTTTTATTTCACGTAATGGAAAAAACAGAGAGTTACAGAGAGGAATACAGAGAAAGATACAGAGAGGAAGTCTAACATTTTGCCTTAGGCTACGGTTAAACCAAGGAAGGATTGAAGGAGTTGTATGTGTGTGGAACCAAAGAGAAACAGAGGTATTGATCGGTGAAGGATTTGCCTGAAAATCTAGAAACGACAGTTAGAGATTTTAATCCAAAGTCTCAAAGGTAAGTCTCTGTTCTTCTCTTTCCCTTAAACTTGTGATCTGTGTATGCTTAGATGGATTCCAGTAGTTTAATGAATGCTTAAACAATCTGTTATGCATGTTTAAATTGATAATTAATCTCGTTGAATGAAACTGATATACCAAAATTCTTTAGGTTTTTGTTAGTTGGTTTCTTCTGTAAACATGTTTAATTCTTACTTATTTGAGATCAACGATTCATATGGTTGCCTAGTAATTAATCTAGAATGTTAAACGTACACTGGAACAATAATTTAAACTCATTACAGAGGCTTGGAGATCATCGGAGTCGAAGGAGACAAGGTGAAAACAGACGACGACTGCCAAGGGAGGGGAGCACGCTCCCAAAACCTTTGGAGCCGGCTCCCAAAGAAGTAGAGCTGGCTCTTGGTGCCTTGGAGCCGGCTCTCAAGGTCCTAGAGCCGGCTCTAGGTGAATTAGAGCAGGCTCCAAAGTTTAAGAGAGCCTGCTCCATTTTTAATAGTCCAGTTTTGACACTGAGGAGCTATTTGGACTGAAAAGGTTTTTCTTGGTTGGTTTAAACTGTTTTAAATAGTGTATGGGACTGTAATAGACCTATAACAGTAGGGAAAACATTAATTCATAATTGGATTAAGGGATGGAACGAGATGGATTTAGGGAAAAACCTATAAATGACACACTATTGTGGTTAATTAACTTATGTGCGAGGTTTTGAAGCTTCTGTTGTTTATAAATTTTATACAGTTTAATTATGTTTAAACATAGTTATAAGCATAGTAACCTCTTGAAATCATCTATGCTTGGTTTGAAATAAATTGATACATATATTCTGCTAATTGTGTCAATTACTGGATTATGTGGAAGATTTAAATGCTATAACTCGTGTTAGCAATTTAAATATTCGGAAAGTGATTTTTAGGTTCTGTCATGAATGCTTAATGCCCTAATATATGTATTGAACTGTATTTATGCATATCCTGGCTAATGATTGATAAGGAACAATTACTGTTTTAACAAGTATGTTGTTTAGAGGATTGTATGCACCGGTATGGGACGGTGGCATACTAAGGATGTATTAGTAAAACACTAAATCCTACCTATTTTGGAATAAGTTGGATTAACTATAAAAAAGTTAAGTTCTACTTATATGGATGTCTATGCACCGGTATGAGACGGTGGTATATTAGGGACGGCTTAATTCAAAACACTGAGACCTACCTATATTGGGGATGGATTAGTTCAAACACTAAGTCCTACCTATATTGAAATAAGATGGAGTAACTACAGAAGGTTAAGTCCTACTTATAACTAGGTGTTAGGTCAATAAACCTTTTGAATGACACACTTGGAACGGACTTTATATATTTATGTTATGGTACAATGGTATGAGTTTGAGTCTCAAGACCATGGTTAGGGTGCGTATATCGCCTAGGATAGATAGTTAGACAGATGTGTTGTTCCCTGATAGGTCTAGGTACACATGACCACATTATGTGCGATTTGCATAGTATCTCTACTCAGGCTGAGACAGACCTATTGGACTAGTGAGCGTCCTATAGTGTATACTTATATATATATGGACTACTCTAGATATTATTGAGTCTATCTATGATGTATCTGCGTATCGGGTTTATGTATGGATTGTAGTAGAATATGACTTGCATGTGGGCCTGATCCACTCTCTTATTTTTCAGGTGTTCTTCAGTTCCAAGGTTATAGCTTGGACGTGCAGAGCAGATACAGACACTCACTCCTCCGATTATGTAGGATTTCTTTCTATATTTAGCTTTGGACTTGGTTCAGTTCTTCTCGTTACAATTTGAGATTTTTTTAGGGGTCAACTAGATGGATTCCCGAGTTGTAAATAAATGGAGGTTTTGGATTATGGGTTTTACAATTATAACCTTTGAGGATTTTGTAATTAGAATTCTCTCAGCTTTAATATTTATTTTTACATTTAGTTTTGTATTCTGTGTTCGTTTTACATATTAATTGTTTGATATCTCTCGGATTTGTGCTCGGACTTAATCACCCGTGGCTCTAGAATCGAGGGGTATCACATTTTACCCTTCACTATTTTATTAATTTTAATTATAAAATATAAAAATACTTAAATGACCAACTTACCATTTTCATCTCTTTCTCTCTCTCTCTCTCTCTCTATATATATATATATATATATAAACAATATATATATAAATAATCAGAGTCAACGAAGCTCGGCCTCAGTTCGGGAGAACTGAGCCTCTGTGAATCCCTAAGAGCCATTCATTAATATTGACGGTGCTTCTTGCCCCGAAATCCTAATTATCAGTTTCGTCAACGTTGTGGGTGAGACGACCCATCTTTACCGTAGATCGAAGATTCGCTTATTGGGGAACATCATCGTAGAGAGAATATGTCAAAACAGCCATGGAAGGTGGACTGTAGCTCTAGGAGTGGTTGAGGCTTGTTTGAGATTTCATTCTCCAGTAAACAGACCCATATTCCTTCTCCGGCGGAACCACGATGGTGAGTAATTTATTGGCCGATGTCTGCAACGGCCACCGTCGTTGAAGAGAAGAAGCTTCATCAGGTTGTCTCGAACCACTGGAAACTCGATGTCGCAACTCGAGGTTTTGTCAATCGAGTCTATCTCGGTAGTGACACAGCCGGGTTCAATGACTGACTCGTCAGAGTTGGATGCGATCTCAAGAGTTGTTGACGGAAACCAACAGTACGTAGCGGCGATGGTAATGGTGTGTTTAATTGTGGGTTTTTCATGGGTTTAATTAATGGGTTTTGGTTGTGGTGGCAGAGGTTGCAGTGGTGGGTGGAGAGAGAAAAAGAAAGGGGTGGGCAGTATTAGTGGGCGGTAGTGGTGACTGGTGGGCAGAATTGGTGGTTTGGTGGATTTAGTGCCAGCTCGATTGGTGTTGGGGTGGCGATGAGAAGAGAGAACAGAGAGAAGGACAAAAATGGGAACCAGTCTACAACCAGAGATAGAAAGGTCATTTCAACATTCAAATTAGTTAATATAAAAGTCAAACAGACAAAATTGTCAATTCATTACTATTGGGGTGTCTTTGATAGTTGTATCAAACTTGAGGGAGTGTCTTTGTCCCAAAATAGAATAACTTGCATCTGTGTGTCTTTTTGTCAAACCTCAAGGGGCCCTTAATTCAATTTGACAAATAAACCAAACTAATCAACCTTTAAACCATATATATATGTGTGTGTATTATTATTATTATTATTATTTTAAACATGTTTCAACAGCTAGCTTGGATGTCATTGCAAGTCTTAAAAGCATTTGGCGAGC